ACGGGAGAAACTGAGAGCCATCAGCCGGGTTGAGGACATGGCCTGTCCAACTATGGATGCTCTAGGGGCCTTTGAAAGTAAGTTCAACATGAATATAGATGATTTTACTCTGCAGCGGAGGAGCATGAACAGAGAGGCTAAGCTACTCAACCAAGGTCACACAGCGCCTCTCATGGCTTACCAGCTATCTCAATTTAGATGATTCTAACAACTCTCAAATTTCCTATCCGCATGGGTGAAATGGACTATCACCTGTCTCAACCAGTCACCATGAGGAATTGATTTGGCAATATTTGCAAAGCGGCGAGTGTAGGGAAAAAACATATGCACTCCCAGCTTGCCGGCACTGGGGAGGGACAGCTGTCTGTCTGTACCCCTCTGGCTCTCATTTCGGGGGAAGGGGAGGAGAGGATCTTGTTGGGAGACTGGTGAATGGCCCTCAGACCCCGCAGCCTGTCTCCCTCGAGTAGCCCCTGGCTCACGGCCCCCGCACAGGCAGACATCCCAGGGCCCCCGCGTGGCTGTGGTGAGGGGCCACGCAGGAGACGCCAGCTCTCCAGGCTTCGCTGGATTACGCGGTGGCTAAGCTCACCCCGGGAGGCGGGAAGCGGGCACAGGTTCTGGGTTCGGGCCCCTTCCCCAGTCTAGCCGCAGTGCTGCGTGCTGCCTTCCTCCCCATCTGAATCTCCATCTATTTCTCAAATGGCTGGAGGGAGAGGAGGGAGAGTGATTGTCACCCTTCAACTCCAAAGCCAAGCACAGGTCTGGGGCCAGAAGCCCTGCTGCAGAGAATGTCACAGTTGTTATTTAGAGCGAACTGCCCGCAGGGGTGGGCGTGTATCCAGGGGGGACGGGAGGGGGGATCAGGAGAAGGGCCTTGAGCAAGACGGAGAGAGGGAGAGAGAGGCCAGGGGCAGCTGGGAGGTGAGGGGGGCGCCCTCCCAGGGCACTGCGGGATAGTGGGGGCCAGCCCCCCCCCCGGGACCTCCTGCGCCAGGCCCTCACCCCTGCGGCCACCAGACAGTCTCATTCCTTCTCTGCCGACAACGTGTGATCTTGATCGCCTGTAGCACAGCTTTCTCTTTCTCAAGGGAAATTTCTGTCTGTTTCTGGCAGTGGTCCTCCATCTTTCCGGGTAAGCACCACGGTAACGGATGGAGTCATCGTCCCCTACCCCTTCCTTCTGCGTCTGCGGCCTCCCAGGCTGCTCAATCACCACTATGGGGCCACTGGGTCAGCCTCCACGCCTGGCCGGCCTCCTGCCCTGCAGCCTCCGGGGAAGCAGGCACATCCTTCCTTTCCACCTCTAATGAAATCTTCCTTCTGCTCAGGGCCCAGCGAGGCTTGGGGTCAGTACTTCTTCCCACTTGGCTCGGCTCTGGGCCCTGGCTCGGTAATTACACCCCACACCTCATTGCAGACAGGCCTGGCTCAGCTTCTCTGCACCGTCACCCCCTGGAAGCTCTGGGCTTCAGGGACTGTGGGTGTGTGAATTTTCTCCCCCTTCCAGGTCCTTGGTCGGCCTGGCATCCGCTCACATTGACGTCCCCAAAACACGCACACAGTCAAGAGCCCTTCCCAGGTGTCTTTTCCACCTGGCTGAACCCATCCCTCACTCCTGGCTTTGCTCACGTCACGTTGCACCCCCCCGCAACACACACACAAAGCCTTCCCTGTTGCGCCCCATGGCCTCCCAATACAGTGACACTCAGAGTGACCGCTGGCTTCTCGGAGCTCTCACCACTGGGCACTGGGTTGGTACCTCGTAGGTGTGTAAACTCAATAGTGAATGGATGAGGGAGGGAATGAATGGATGGAGGAAGGAATGAATGAATGGGGGGGTGAATGAATGAGTATGCACTTACATGTCTATCCTCCTCCTCTGATGCTTAGCCATATGTTACTTTGTTTTGCTGTTTAACTGCTTCACAGAGAGTGATGCTTGAAGGAAGGAAACTTCTCCTAAACGTTACTCATTCATTGCCCATCATTCAGAAAATCCTAGTCTGCACCAGGCACGAGACACAGGGGAGCCACTAAAGCCGGTGTCTGCCCTTTGAGAAGCTCTGCCTCATGTCCTGGCTCTTGGCCCTTCTGGGGTCCTTTTGCAAATCTATGAAATCTGTGAGCTCTCTCCCCAGAAACACGTACACCCGCAAATGAAATCCCTGGCCACAGTCTAAAAAACCAGGGGGTCAGGTGAGAAAGAGAAGCAAGTTATTGGGCAATTATAATCTCTTTTGCTAAGGGCCATGCCGGGAAGCATGGTCAGCTTATATTGGCGGTCGCAGAAGACAAAGTGATTAACTCACTTTGAGGTAGGATGGGGGTCTCAGGGAGGTGGGGATCAAGGAAGGTATTTCAGAAGCGCTGGCTCTTGAAGAATGAGTAGAAGTTTACTGGGCAGGCAAAGGGAGAGGAAGAGGACAGTGAACCGGCACGTACGACACACACATACCGATGTGTTCAGTGGCTGCCAGGGGCCCAGGAGCTGAGGGAGGGAGGGGTGGGGACGAGATGCTGAAGCCTAAGGGTTTCCTCCTGGGGTGACAAAAGTGTTCTGTGATTAGACAGTGGTGATGGCTGCACAACCTTGTGAATATGTACAGCACGTGGATCTGTACACTTTAGAAGAGCTGATTTTATTTAATGATGTGTGAATTACGATGGTTAATTTCACCTGTCCATGTGGCTGGGCCATATTACCCAGTTGTTTGGTCAAACACCAATCTGGGTGGTGCTGTGAAGGTAGTTATTTTGATGAGCTAACATTTAAAGCACAAGTCTTTGTGAAGAGCAGATTGCCTTCCATAACATGATGGAACTTCATCGAGGCAGATGAAGGGCTTCCGAGAAAAATACTGAGGTTCCCGAAGGAAGAGGCGGTTTTGCCTCCAGACTGCCTTGGGACTGGACTGCAGGATTTGCTTTTCCCTGGTCTCTGGCTTACCAGCCTGTCCTACAGATTTTGGATCTGCCAGCCCCTACAGTCACCAGAGTCAATTGCTTAAGAGAAATCTCTCTCTCTCCTTCTGTCTCTGTGTTTGTGTGTCTCTCTATGTATATATCCTGTGGGTTCTGTTTCTCTGGAGAACCGTGACTAACACATGAATTATATCTCAACTTAGAAACGTTCATTAAAAAGGTTTAAAGAAATTATGGTAGGATCTTAAAAAACTGGAGCACAGGCATGAACCGGTGTGGCGGACAGCTCCTGGTGGCAGCCCGGAGGGAGAGGAGAGGAAGCGGGCGGGGCAGCAGGGCCAGGCCTTGGCTACCATGCCAGGGCTCTCTGATGCCTGCAAAACAGCGCTGTCTTAGCCAGGGTTATTTTTGATTGCAAGCAACAGAAACGGACTCCGGCCAACTTCGGCAAAAGGAAGAAATTGCGAGAAGGGTACGGGGGCTCACACACTCAGAAAACGCTTCACAGCCAAATCTAGAAGCTGCCAGGAACCAGGGAAATCCCAGAAATCTTGGCAGCAGGAACTCATGACTTGGGCTTCTTGAGCATATATCGATTGCCACCGCTTTTTGTTCTTGGTTACTCTGCTCCAAATCACAGTCTCAGGAAAGGGAATGAGACGGGCCACAGTTGAGTCCACATGCCCAACCCGGGACCTGGGAGCACAAGGCGGAGCCTTGTCTGAAATCCCTGCCGGTGGGTGGCGTCTGCTGCTGGCAGAGTGGGGAGCAGACGCTGGCAGGCCGTGCGGCAGGAGCGCATGGCACTGACGGCACTGGGGTCCCTGACCAGCTGACGAGTGACGCTGGCGGGAGCCTGGTGTCCGCTGAGCTGCGTGACGGGCCTTTGTTACAGCAGTGACACCGCCCCCATCTCCGGCTGTGTCAGCACCACAGACCGCCTGTTGCCAGGGCACCGAGGGAGGACTGGAGCTGCACAGGGCCCTGCTGTTTCTAGCTGCGTGAACTTGGTGAACTCACTTAACCTCTCTGAAATGCAACGTCCTCATCTGTTTGGCGCAGGCCAATGTACCCACCTTGTGGGCTTCTTAAGAAGATTAAATGAGAAAACACGTGGGAAGACGTCTGGCCCAGGGGTCTGACATATTCCAGAGGTTCTTCTGTCCCTCCGGGGAAGGTCTCCTAGACTTGATGATGCCGAGTCTAGAAGAAGGGTGTGGGCAACATTTTCCAGTCCACTTTCAATTAAATTGAGCCCAGCTGGGAGCTGGGGCTGGGGCTGGGGCTGGGGCTGGGGCTGTGGGTCCTCAGGCTGGATGGAGTTGCTCTCTCCTTGGCCTCCCTACTTTCTTCCCTCTGTCACATGCTGGGCCCAGAGGCCACATCCCAACAGCCCCCTCTCCCCAGCCGTCTGGGAAAGGAACAGAGGCTCAGCCCCTGAGAGGCGGAGGGTGGAGCCCGTGGAGGCTCAGAGCTGCCCCAGCTCTTCACAGATCCTGGAGGTGGGTCCCAGAATAGTCCTCACAAATCCCTGTGACCCTGCAGGGGGCTGTGTCTGCGTGTGGGGTGCTGTTGAGCACAGTCCCAGCTCTGGGCCACCTGCCACCCTCCCTGCCCATGCCCTGGGCTGGAGCTGGGCCCTGCGGCTCCAGTCTGGGATGGAGACAGGTGTGGGGAGGGGAGGAGCAGAGGCCCCGGCTGGAGGGCAGGTGGGATTCCCGTCCAGGCCCAGAGTCTTGCTGTCACAAAAGACCGGCTCTGAGCCCCCTGCAGGTGGCTGCAAAGGGGGGCGGGTGGTAAATGGAAGAAGACATGGGGGAAGCAGGAAAGTGAGCCCGAGCCAGGGAGGGAGAGGAAGGAGGGGGCAGGATGCAGAGAGGGTGAGGGAGAGAGAGGAGGGGAGAGGCAGGGGGCAGAGAGAGTGGCCCATTGGGGCAGACCTGGGAAAGGAGGAGGATGGGAGGGGGAGGGGAGGAAGGAGGGGACAGAGAGGAAGAAACACTGAGAGGAGAAGAGCAAGAGAACGGCAAGAGGGAGAAGAGAGAAATGGGAAGACAGCGACAGAACGGGAGATGGGATGAAGGAGGAGAGACACAGGGTGGGGGAGGGAAGAGAGGGAGACCCAGGCGACCTCCAGGCCCCTGCCTGCCTCCAGCTGCCACAGAGGCCCTGCAGGCTGGGAGGCGCCAGCCTGGGCCACACGCGTGCTTAGCTTGTTTTCAGTCTCCTGCTCCATCTGTCACAGCGAGAGAACTCCGCAAGTGCGTCGCCCCCGCCGCCCCGCAAGCGCTCTGCAGGGGTGAGGTGACTCATCCGCTGCCACAGCCCTGCGATCCAGGCAGAACGTTCACGCGTCATGAGTTCCCCTCCAGAGGCCACAGACTGTGGGCACGGGCCTCAAGGGGGTGAGAGTGCGGCCGAGAGACTCAGGTGAGCCGGTTAGGATTTGTCATCCCATCTGGGTCCCCCGGGCTGATCCAAATGACCGGGCAAGAGCGATGGCAGAGTCCCGCCCACACGCGGTGGAGGGGTGGCTTGGCGTGAACGCTCGCTCCCCTGATGCCTCTTTTAGGCTCAGTCTCGCTGAGGGGCCAGAGAACTAACTGATCCGAGAACTTCCTGTTTCTCATGGCAGCAAAGTGACAGGCTGTGACACGCGTCAAGCCAGCCCCTCTTCCTGCCACCTCTCCTCTGTGGCGTTCCCCAGTCACAATGTCGCATTTGCTGTGATGCGCTCTCATTATCTTCTGTGCCAGCAGGCCGAGAGCCCCCTGATCGAGGAGGGTGAGGGGCTCGGCCCGTGGGTCACCCTCGCACGGTGGCACCCTCTCGAGAACCAGCCGCAGAGTGGGCGGATGAGCGGACACCGGTGCCCACCTGGGATCTAGCAATGCCCAGTTCCATCCCACGGAGATACGTTTTACAACCCTTTTGTAATAAGGAGGGGGAAGCTCAGAGACAGGCGGCGACCTACCGAGGGCTGCAGCTAGAAAGAGGAGGAGCGGGATTTAATCAGGCCGAGTGTGACTGATCTCACAGTCATCCCAGCCCTCCGTCAGCCCTGACGTCGCCGCCCCACACAGACCGTCACTGACAGGCACTTGCCCACGTTGCACCGTGGTTCGCACTCTCCTCTCGCGTGTTAACCCAGCGCAGCAAGCCAGATGTCTTGACAGAAAGAGAAGCCAGAGGGACGGCAGCGGGCGGGAGAGGTGGTCTCAGAGGGGAGAGGCTGGCTCCGTCCCAGGGTTGCGTTCGGAAGGCGGCTGTGTGCAGGTCTGTGCAATGTCCCAGTGACGGCCCCAACAGAGTGCAAGGATTGCATTTCCTCCTGGGGAGGGACTTTTGGTTTGCATCCTTGTAGTCCAAAGGTCTCTAGCCTTGGGTCACCCCAGGTTGTTCCCGCTGAACCTGGGCTCCTCCTGCCCTGCAGTTACTGTGATTTCCAGGCCTGGGGAAGACGCAGAGTCAGTGCACCCCAAAGGAAGCCCCACCCAGCAGCCGGCACGTGAGCACACACATGGCCCACGCTGGCAGCTCTTCTGACCCCGTTTCTCCTTAGAAACAAGGCTGGAGGGGACAAAAGAGAAGAAAGGCCATTTTTCCCATCTGGTATGTAAAATTTAAAATTTAGATGGGCTTCTATGACTTGGGCTATGTCAAAAATAAAAATAAGAAAGAAATAAAAAGAAAGCATTTAGGCTTAAGTTTGCCAGGGGTCACACGGACTCTAGTCGTGCCCTCTTTGAAATACTGCAAGACCAGGCAAACCTCTCAGGACAAAGGGTGCAGGACAGTTGTAGCAAAATGCTTCTTCTGATGAGTATCCCAAGCATGAGACTGAAAATATTGCCAGAGCTGTGTCTCTGGACAGTGGAATGGTGGGAAGAGGCTTTGGAAGTTATTAAGTTATTATAATTTTGGAGCTAATAACAATCTCTCTCTCTCTCTCTCTCTCTCTCTCTCTCTCTCTCTCTCTCTCTCTCTCTCTCTCTCTCTCTCTCTCTCTCTCATAGGCTTGGCCTTGGAACATGGCTTGACTCGCACAGCACACTAGATTAAATCTGGACTCTGGAGACTAAACTATCAGTGGCCAAGCCCCAGTGAAGACACGCTACATAGGAACGAATGGGGCCTCTGGCTTTTTTGGGGGAAAGTCCCTCAAAACACTAACTTCGATTTATTTGGTTCTGGGCTCTGCCACTATCCCTCTGTGAGTCCTCAAGAAATTACTTCAGCTACCTGGTCTCCTCAGTTTCCTCAAAGGTAACATAAAACAAATCATTGTGCCAATTTTGTGGGGCTGTTGGGAGGATTTATGGTATAATAACTGTAAAAACCCTCATACTGTACCTAGAACACACTAAGGACTAAAAATTGGCCATCATTGTTATTCTTATTAATAAATATTGACTAATCACTGGCTAAAATTCTATCCTCCTTTGAACCCTGAGGGAAACACATGGACCTGAAGGGAGGTGGGGCAATTTGGGGGGAGATTAGTGGAAGCGTTTTGTGCTGCCTAAATGGTGAATCTTTTCTCAAAGTGGATTCCAAGCAGAAAGTGTCTTTTCTTGTTAACAGCTGGTTTAAAAGTAGAAATATTTCCTACATTCTCAGTTGGCCTAATACACCACTGCTAGAGGAAGTGCTAGCATAGCCGGCTTGGTATAAGACTGCAAAGCAAGCCATGGCCACAGCCAACATTCTGTTTGTCATGTTGCAGGGAAGCAAAGTGCTTTAGCAGTGGATAAAGGACAGGAATGCGAAGAATTCACTTTACTATGTACATAAACAAAGAATAAGACTTAGAAATAAGGACTCAGAAGCAAGAAGTGGCAATTTGAGTTCTGATACAGATTGTGTGAACCACTCAGGAAAAAAACCACCATAGATTAGGTCCTTCTTGTTACTACAAACTAAACTATAAATCTCCATCATTATAGAAGGTGGGTGGTGTTATTCTTAACCTCTTTCTGTCATGGTAATAGATCCCAAGTAAATAAGCCTCTTTAGAGGTGGTTAGATGTAGGCTCTTCACGAAGGTGGACTTGACCTCATTTCTACACTCTTCAATCAACTGACTGAAGATTAATGAGAAATACCAAGCGTTTCATAAATATTTATTTCATAAATATAAAACAAAAGGAAAAGGAGGTTTAATTTGCAGCTTGGATGAGGGGTTAACATGTTAAGTGAGTATGTCATTGAGAAAATGCATTTGAAATTTTTACATTAGAACAACACAATTGAGTAATGCTAAAGTTAAATTGGGAACACTAATGTGAACTCCTCAACTTAAGTATGTCCCCACCTCTGTCACTAAAAGTGGATGCAGCAGCAGTACTGGTGTCCTCCATCAATTCTCACGTGCCTCCTAACACTTTTCTCCACTGAGAGAAACAGGGGCTCTCTCTAGGGATAGTCTTAGGTAGGGTAAAGTCAGATTGGGCCTGGAAGTTTCTTTTGTGACCAGAAAGCAAGGATGCTTTCTAAAATATCACAGAGCAGTTCTGGAAGGACCAAGAAGCTGGTTTAAAGAAGCTTCCTCTGGCCAAGCTCTGATAATATGAATATCAGATAAGATTGATAACTATAATCAATTTGAACACAGGGAATCTGTGAAGGGCCATAAGTTCCTAATGAAGCTCCAAAGAGAAAAGTTGATAGGAACGATGAACATGATACAGTTTCATTTTATATTATTTTTAATAGCAGGCTTGTATTATATATGGGTGATATTATTTCTTCTATTAAATATATGTTGGTTTATTAAGCACAGATAGGTAATTTCCTCTATCATTATAAGAAGGAAAGAGTGGATTTTGAATACATCTCGTAGTCTTGGAGAAAAGTAGAAATTAGCAGTCATGCATGACCACACATCAAGAGAGAACCAATAATGTGCTAGGAGAATTGGCCAAATGTCCTCATAAGGACAGAAACCTGCAGAGTTTAATCTCTGGTCTCCTAGGAGATGAAACACACTTTAGGGTAACTTTCTGGCCGCAGAAAAGAAGCCCATGTGAAGGGCACGGACTTTTACATTCTTGATCATGCCACATTTAAACTTAAGCATCATAATTTTGGGAGACCCTTTGTCACTCCCAAATAAGAATCAAAACAACTAAACATGCTGGCCTGAGATAATATTATCTTTCTTTTGGTTCTGGAAGAAATCTATATTTCTAGGAGAAATGGGATCATTTTACATCCTAATCCTGGGAAACTACCATAATAACTCCAAGAAAATAACGCTGAGAAAATAAGTATAAAAATAATTTAAAGAATTGATGATCTTCATACGTTTGTAACCAGTGTAACCACAAGTATATATTTTTTAATCATTGTGATGTTTTGTGTGCATTTTGGCTAAATTTTTAGGTGTTAAGGGAGCCTGACATATTAAACTCATATTTTTAATTAAAAGCATTGGAGAGTGTGCTTAAATAATTTTGTAACCAATGTTTATAAGTTTGGAAAATTTTAATCAGTTCAGTTTGTAATAAGTTTTGATTTAACAATTATGAAAATAGTGTTTGACTGTTAAGAGGGATATTGTTTAATAGATTCCTAAGGCTGGGGAGTTGAATGCTAAACAAAGCACCAACAAGAGTGAGTGTTCCCCCCTGGTGACAAGTGTCCACAGTCATTAAGGCCCTTTCAATGCATCACAACCAAAATTCAAGAACCGCTAAGTGGGCAAAACAACCAAGTACGAAATGGTACTAAGAACAAAAGGGACTGATTATTTTTGTCTTGGGGTATGCCATGTCATGCTTGTATTTTACTATGGAGATTCTTAGAAATGGAGATGTTTTCATGTCTCAAAGGAATTGATCAAATGGAGTTTTCCTATGCAGAAGATACCCAGACCTGAAATTCACTCATTTTCCCCCCAGAACCCTGATATTCTTATTATTTTTATTCCATCAACTCAGACAAGCAGTATTTTATCACATAAGGAACAATAGGTCATTGCTCAGTGCCTCTAGCTGGTTGCTTCCTCAACATGGCCCCAGGCAACAAGCTCCCAGTTCTCCTGGCAACCAAAGGAAAGGGTTCTCTCTGATGGCTTCCTCCTGCCTGACAACACCGTGCATTTGTGGCTTTCTCTGCTTTAATGCCTCCTGATAGGTTACTTGCAATCCCACTTCTCAAAGTCCAAAGAAAACAGGATTGAAACATTTGGGAGCAAATGCCTTGGAAATACTGCTAACCTTTTGTTTCCCTTTCCTTTTCATTAACCGCATTGAGAGTCACGCACAAAACTTTAGATCTATATTGGTGTTCCATTTGTAGGGAGTGTTCAGCTGTCTGTGTCATTTTCATTCGCCCTAAGTACCTTGAACATCCTACGGAACTGTAATCTTGAGAGCTAATACTTCGCAAGAAGCCTTTTCTTCTTTCCTTTAGAGCTTACAAGTGTGTCCTATTTAAAAATGAACCCACGACGCCAAAATTCTCATATAGAAAGGTAGACACATAGGCGATTGTTCTTACGGTGGGGAACTGGGTTTGGTAAAGAGATGGTTCCTCTGGGAAACTGACCAGGGGACACTGACCTTGGAGTACGCGGTCTTGCAGTAAACCGTCAGGCCTGCGCTGAGTTTGGAGTCTCCGGAGCGATCTGGAGTGGCCAGCCAGAGTAAGACACCCTGTGAGAATGGCAGAGGGAGGGTCCCACAGGTCTGAGGGACCTGCACGCTCATCAGGACTGACGTTAACAGCAGATACCCTCATGGGACTGCAAGGCCAGGGATGCTCGACCTCCAGCCTCGAGTGCTGCTGAGTCTCCCAGTCCACTACATGGGCCACAGCAAAGGAAGTCACATCCTTTGCCTATGTCTGTGATATCTTTCTGACCATCAAGCCACCCAGTGCTGTGACAACTATGTCATAACTGACAAGGAACTTGTACAAGGTATCGAATGAACATAACTGCGATAAAATCTATTTGGAGAAAACCCCAAATGGTTACCTGACCTGAAGGGTTGCACCTCAGCAACCCTTCCTCCCTGAAGTCCTCCCTGACACCTTCCCTACCACAAGTGGACTTGTTTCCTTGGATGCTTTCCTACTGGAGTTTTTGTCCTACGTTCTTGCAAGTAGGAATTAACAAGTCTATGAAGATGCGAACTCTGAGGACAGGGCTGTGTTGGTTGCTATCTCTCCAGTGGCCTGCAGAGGGCAGCACTCAAAAATGCTCCTTCGGATGAGCAGTGACCAAAAGCCACTAATGACTTCGAACCATGCTATCAAATAAACAGCTAAGAGTCAACCCATGAATAGACCGTTAGGAGGCAGTTATATCTTAGGCTTTTAAAAATAAATATTTACTTTCTGATAGTTATAAAGCCCTAGAGTGCATTTCCAGGTCCAGGTAATGTATGGAAAGTGTCTTTATCTCTGGCCCCAAGAGAAAGCCATTTACTACTTACTTATTTTTTTGAGCAGTTTTAGGCTCACAGCACAATTGAGTAGAAACTGTAGCGAATTCCCACATGCCCCCTGTGCCCACACAGGCACAAGCTTCCCCACTATCAACATTCCACACTGCAGTGGTACCTTTGTTACCATCTGTCAACCTACATTAGCACGTCATTATCACCCAAAGTCTATAGTTTACATTAGGATTCACTCTCTGTGTTGTAGGGAAGGCCACTTGTAATAAAATATTGTACATTTCAAAACTTTCTTTATGCTTTGTAATTTATGTTGAGCACTACTGCGAGGACGTGCTCAGAATATTTTAATTTTTCTTGAATATGAGGAATTGAAGAGTCTGCTCTACATTGTAGGGAGTGATGTGTTAACTTGTGAGCTAACAATGCTTTTCCTTGAGAATGTATCCCCAAAGCAGAAGTCAGCAGAAATAGGCTCTTTCATATGCCAAAATTTGGGTTACATTCAAAATTTCAGGCTAGCAATGGTTTTTGTGAGTCATGTTGCTATCCCAAGACTATAACTTTGATATAAGCCATTACTGAAAGGTCAAAATGCAAGAAAAATTATAACATGCCTGTTTTTTAAAGCTAGGCAATATTTTTTTTCTATTCATATTGTGTTTGCCGACAGTATGCTTTTAACTAATTAGCCACGAAGAGTGGGGGCGGTGGGGAGAAACCCAGATTGGAACAGAACCTTACCATCTCATGTATGGCACTAAGACAGTTAAGTCAAAACGTAGAGAAACAGAATCTGTTTGTTCCTGCTGGAATTGAGAGGGCAGCTCGACACTGAAATTTCATCATCTGTTATTGTTCTTAACCAGAGATATGAGCATCTAAAAATTTGGAACAAGCCAAGGATGGTGGCTTATGTCTATAGTCCCAACTACTCCGGGGCTGAGGCAGGAGGATCATTTGAGGATCACCCAGGTGTTTGATGCTGCAGTGAGCTACGATCATGCCACCATACTCCAGTCTGGGTGACAAAATGAGACCTCATCTCTTAAAAAAAAAGTAATAATAAAATGATAAATAAATAAATAAATAAAAATTTGGAACTACAAATTAGAAACAAGTTTACCCCAAATTATCCTAATATTCATTTCAAACCCCTGACCCCAGAAAGCATGCATGGGCCACTTGCCACCCCTTAACCTATCACTAACAAGGGGACATATTGGATCATTCAGGATTTAGCCCTCATCTGGGACTAGGGTCAGCTTCCCTGGGGGTGGAGTCCTGAACAAAATTGGGTCTGTCAGCAAAGTGGCCGGGAAGGGAGAGGAGGGAACCGAGGTGGGCTCCAGCGTTCTTCCTTGCAGCTCTGCAGATGAGAAGCCCCCAAAGGGGCCTTTGCCTCAGTTGTAATTAGGAGAAGTATCCAGAACAGAAAGATATTTTGAGACTTCTTGTAACTTTGTGACTTTCTCCTTTTGTTTCATTATTTTTATCTCCTCTGTTTCCTCGTCTTACCAGCAGTGAGAAGCCTTAGCTTAGAATAACCTGAGGAAAGCTGCCTGCTTGATTCTGGACAGCTGTGTGGGAGCCACCGCTCGGTTGGTCCGCGGCGGGAGTCGGCACAGACCTCCTCTTCCCGACAGAGGCGAGCAGACTGGCTCCTGGCGACGTGTTCCAGCAGCCCTGAGGCCAGGCCTGGCCCCAGCAGGCGGTGGATGTGCAGCTGGAACGCGTGAGTCGAGATGAATGTGCTCCAGAGGGAGGCAGAGCAGTGAGGCTAAAAAGGCTTTGAGGTTGATCAAACCTGGACTGGACTCTCAGTCCTGCTGTTTCCTGGTGGTGTGACCTTGGGCAAGTCACTAGCACTCTCTGAGCCTCCGTTTCTTCATCAGCAAAATGAAGATAACACCAGTGACTCCAGAGGAGTGTGTGAGGATCAGAAATAATGTACGTGAAGCACACAGGATGGGGCCTGGAGCTTACTAGATGCTCGATAAATGGAAGCCGACTTCGCTCCTGGACCAGTGCTCTTGTAGGGGAGGGAACAATGTCTTCCCCCAACCCTTCTGGGTTCTTTGTCTGAGCTTTAAATTGACATAAAACAGATAATCAGGAAAAAAATATTCTTAATTGTGTGCACCCCGCAAAACCTGAGACTCAAAGAAAGGCCAGATGATTGAAGCTTATATATAGCATCCTGAGCTACAGAAAGGAACAGGGGCTTGGGACTTCAGGGCTGGGGGTAGGGGTGACACAATTATGGGAGACTGAAAGAAGGAATGTATGATGACTAAAAGTTGTCTTATTATGTAGGTGAGAAAAGTTGTCTCCGAGCAGCCTCTTCCTGGTACAGATAGTTTCACCAATGTAGATTTCCTTTATAGATGTAAATTTCCTTTACAAAAGGACAGCTTTTCCAAGCTACTCCTGTGTCTGCAGTTTCTCAGAAACCAGCTTGAAATATGCCAAAGAAGTCTATTTTGCCATGGCATATTCTGGTCTCCTCCAGTCATATTTTGGGGTGGTATATCCTGAGCCCCAACCCACTTTAATTATTTTCAAAATTAAAATGCCATATCCTAGCCCAGTGTCAGTTGTAGCAATACCACTCATTCTCCTGGCTCACCCACTGATGTGAGGCTGAGGGTAGAAAATTGGCAAAGAAGCCACGGGCTCTGGCAGCTCAGCTCAACCTCTGTATACTTCTTTAATTTGACAGTGAGTTTGTCTTGATTATGAAAATTTCTTGCCCGTCTCTAATTTCTCCTGGGGCAACCACCTTATCAGTAAGAGCCTGGGGCCAGGCAGAGTTCAAATCTTGGCTCCAACATTGACACACACATCTGTAACTTTGGACACATTGCTTTTCCTTCCTTGTGCCTCAGTTTTCTCATCTGTACAATAGGGATAAGACACCAGTACCTATCTTTATGCTAGTAACAATTAGAGTAGTTGAGAGATTTAGCTAGCTAGTGCATATAAAGCCCTTGGCATAGGGCCTGGGATATGCAAAACACTTAATAAATGTCGGCTGGTGTTGTGATTATTGGGGACCTCCAAATTCACCCCATCCCTTACTGAGTTGAGCAGACCCACAGGCCCAGGGGGGCAGGACCACCATGGCTGCTACTACCCGCAGTGTTGGCCCCACAGCCTGGAGGGGAGGCCTCTCAACCTGAGACCTTTCTTCTGACTCTCACGATGGTGCTCCGTTGGGTTTGGCTGGAAACTATTCCCATTTTGTAGATGAGAAAGCTGAGGCCCGGGGAGGGTGCCTCGCTTCCTCAAGATCTGAGTGGCAGTCTGCGGCAGGCGGGACTGAGCCCAGGGTCTCCTGACTCCATGTTTGGTGCCCTTCCTATATCACCCTCAGAGAATGAAGAGGAAGGGCTGGGCTGGCCGAGGAAGAGGAGGGGAGCTTCCTCAAACCCAGCTCCTGCGGAGGCCGGAAGGGCCTCTGACACTCCGTCCCCGGCCTCCACCGCTCCCACCTGTCTGCCAGGAGGCCTCTGACGGAGACATGAAAAATGAGCCGCTAAATGCATTATGACTCGTGAGGCTGTCGTAATAATTAAGTTTTATTAAAACGAACACCAAGGAATTTCCTGACATGGCCTGCCTGGCGGAGCTCATCCAAAGGTGATAAATGAGTGGGTTCTGGGGAGAGAGAGGACTGGAGGAAGGAGCAGGGACGGGGACAGGCCTCGGGGTGGAGGCAGTGGAGGAGGCCCGAGCAGCCAGCCTGGTGCGCGGCCTCCGCTTCCCTGCTTTGGCCTTGCAGATGGAGTGCTGAGCCCAGCCTTCAACAGAGCAGACTTCAACCCCAGCCGGGCCACTGCTGATGGTGGCAGCTTGCCCCCCGCCCGGGCCTCCTTCCTCCCTGAGCTGCGAAGGGGGTGGCTCTGAGCAAACTACTCTTGCCCCTGGAGGAAGGGGGTGGCCGGCTATCCCTTTGGGAAACCTGGCCATTGTGTCTGCAGACACTCACCAAGATCCTCGCCAAACTCACAGCGCTGTCTTCTGGGCAAGGCACTGGAATTGGGGAGAGGGTTATTAGAGCAGTTCTGTTATTTTGATTTTCTACAATAAGCATCAATTGCTTTTTGTGCAGAAAAAAACGAGCTGTTCTACCCCGCACACATTCTGGAGTGCCTGACCGAGGGTCACTTCAATGCAGAGGGCACAAGATCCTGCCCCGGGGGAGCCCACGGTGGTCTGACGGAGAAGGGGGTTACGACAGTTCTGTGACAGGGGTGTCAATGGCGCTGGGCCTGCGTCAAGGGCTATGGCAGAGGTAAGCCCAGAGTGACTGGAGAGGGGCACAGGGAGGACTTCAGAAGAGGCTATCCGGGCAAGGGTCACCTGAGCTGAGTTTTGGAGAGGAATTGGACAGCTTGGTGGAAGGCAGGAGGGAGGGAAAGCCCAGAGGCACGGATAAGCACTGGGAATTCAGAGACCCAAGCTGGTTCTATAGGGATCCGATAGCATCTCTGATGGGCTCTTCCCATTTCCACACAAGGCTGTCTATTCTACCGGCTGCTGCGCTGATAACTTTGACCTCATTCAATAGCCCAGAAGAATGGCATTCCGGACCTTACCAGAAAATACAATCTTGAGCCTCTGTTAACCCTATCTCCTATTAGGAAAAAAGAAAGAAAAAAGCTGTGTTGAAGGAATTGTTATTTATGGAGGATTAAGAAGGACATTCATTCTGCAGGAGGCTGGGTTTCATCCTTCAATCAAGAAAGGTCATCAGAAAATGTGTAGTCAAGAAAAAAGAGATCAATAGAACAGAATGGAGAGGCCAGAAATAGACCCGGATATGGACGGAACTTCAGTGCCAGGTAAAGGTGGCTTTGCAGTGCAGAGAAGAGGCAGCTCAGCCAGGGGACTCCGTTGGGAGAGGTGACTAGCATTCGGGACACAACACTGAAGCCTCACACCGCACATCCCACCACGACTGGTCAAACAATTACGTGTAAAAAAAAAAATGAGATTGCAAAATAGAGGAAGAAAACGTGGATAATGTTTTTATAATATTGAAGTAGGAGGAAATCATTCTAGGAACACCAATCTCAAAAGCCACAAAAGAAAACAGTTGACAAATTTGTTTACAAAAACATAAAAACTTCTAGATAATGAAAATAATGTGTTCGAAGTCATAAGAAAAGTGATGGGGTGGGGGGTGGGAGGCTTTCAATAGGAAACCACTAAAGGGTTTTCAGCAAGGGATTGTGGGGTAGGGGGCAAAGTGGGTGATGCATTGTCACAGTCAGTTTTATATTTGGGGTGGGGAATCTCGCTGGCCCTAGTGCAGACTGTAGAATTAGAGGGGACTGACCAGATGTAGAGAGAAGTGCAGTGAGCATGGGGACCAGAGAAAAGGCTGTTGCGACAGGCTGGATAAGAGAAAATGATGGTCACTCGGGCTAAGTGGGAGCTGGGGCCACCGACAATGGGTGGAATGGGGTGACATCTGGGCGTGGAAATCTACATGGGCCTTGGTGGTCCACTGGATAAAGGGGCCATGGAGGACAGGGTGTCAGAGATGACTCCCAATTTCCAGGCTCGAATAACTGGATGGTGAGTCAGGAAAGAGAGGACGGATTTGGTGGTGGGAGTGGAGGGGTACAGTTATTTGACTTGTTGAGCTTGAGATGCCATTGAGCAGAGCTGTCCTTGTGCTTTTCTGTCACTATCTTGAAATCCTTCATCCTTTTTAAACACAGGAACTTGCATTTTTATTTTGTACTGAGCTCAACAAATTACGTAGTGGTCCTGTCTTTGAGCCATGCCAGAGCTGATGCTGTGAAACAGTTATCCACATCTCTCCGGAGCCGGGACGAGGCATCTGGGCTGGAGATACGCCAAGTGTGAGTCATCTGCATTTAGGCGGTCGCTGGAGCGCCGGGAGGGATGCGCTCTCTTCAGGAAATGCTCTGGGGGACAAGAGGACAACTGAGGAGGAGTTTTCAGGTCCGCACAGGTGTGCCGTCTAGGTAGGAGAGGATATGAGAGTAGAAGTTGACAGAGTAGCAGGAGAAGGCAGGAGAATTTGGAAAACCCATGGGAGGGAGTGTATCAAGAAAGAGAGCCAAGTGTCAAAAGCCAGAGATCGAGAGAAATGAGAGCTGAGAAACCTGTAGTGGGTTTGGTAACATGGAGTTCATTGGCACTTTCAGGAAGTGCCATTTTTGTTTACTGGGTGGAGAGAGAGGACGTTGTGGACACAGAGATAAGTTTGCTCTTGCTCTGGGGTGGGGGGGATGAGGTTATACCCTAAAGAGGTGAGGGGTGAGGAAGGAAGGAATTTTAATCTTTATTTTTTTTTAGAAACATGGACATGTTGCTAAGATTTGTTGTTAATCAAAAAAGCAGTACAGAATATTAGATGCAGAATAAACTTTGTGTACAAATGAGGGGAAGGCAGATTATATGTGTACACAATGAAAATTTCTGGGGAAAAACACAAGAAGCTTGTCATAATTACCTATGGAGAACAGGCCAGGGGGCTTCAGCTTTTTCTCACTATACTGGTTGATTTTAAAGTCATAACTGTATTTTAAAAATAATAAAAAAAGATTCATTTTATGCTGTCAAGAGCAGCTCTTGGACGCCACAATTATTGATTAAAGATTTCTTTGGTTCTCAAAATTAACATTCAATTTATTAAAGTTACAAATTCACACACACCCACCTTCTTCTATAAGCTTTGAAATTCAGCTTACAAATCTTATTATTTATTTATGAGTCTAGCAAATTTTAACAATCACTTTTAAGGGTACCTTTGAGAAATATTTCGTCTCATTTACAAATGTGCTTAATTAAATTGCTCTAAACATTGTAAACTGCATTTATAGGCTTAATATATTTGAACTCCTTCTTAAGTACTTCAATTGTCTAACAAACCTCAAATATTTAAGTAACTATTATAAATCTAATTCATTAAACTTACAAGTACAGAAAAACTTAAATTCTTTTAGAGGTTCCAATACTAATTTAACATAGTAAGACTTCAACTTAGAATCTGATGTCCAAGTCAATCGCTCAGCATAACATTTTACATTAGAATGGAAAAGTTAATCTATGACTCTTAAAGGCCACGTTTTCTTAAACATAACAAGTGCACAAACAGCTTATTTCCAAGCACACATATCTTAATAGAAATGGTATGGTTCCCTTCTATACTTCTATACTTAATTCTAAGTCTTCTGCAGGTTAAAAGATGGCCACCTATGATCCTGCTGATGTCACCTCCCCCATTGCAAGAACCCGGCCAAGGGTGGGGTCTCACTCTGCTCCCTGCCAGCACAGCGCACCTGGCTACCCCCTCCCCCTCCCCCTACCTCTCTTTCCTTCCTGTGGCCTTGGACCAGCTGTCCCTTCTGCCAGCTCAGGACCAAAGCTCCACCCTCGCTTGTTAGGTCCTGCCACTTTCTTAAGCGCCCAGTAGTCATTGTTCTCTTCTCTCCTATGGATTTGATAGTTTCCTCTCAACTTGGATACTTCACATCAGCATTTTAAACATGCTCGGGTCTATTTCTTAAAACAAAATAAAACTATACATGTTGATACCTGCATCCTGGAAGCCCCATTCCTGTCTCTGTCCTCTGCTCACAGCCAGTTGCTCTAAGGAGCTGTCTACGTTGGGTACATTCATGTCCTCACCTTCGCCCCTCCATCAGCACATTCCAACACAGTGGTGCTGCCCACCAAAACCGCTCGCCCTAAGGTTACCGATGACATCCCTGTCATCACATCTAATGGGCATTTTTCAGTCTTGGTTTTACTTGACTTCTCAGTGACATTTGACTCAGGACTTTCATCATTTGAAACATTGTGGTCCTTTGCCTTCCATAAAATCATCCTCGTCTGATTTTCATCCATCCTTCCTGGCCATTCCACCTGCAACAAACTGAATGTTTGGTTCCTTCCAAAATGCATGTACTGAAATTCTAGTCCCCAAGCAGTTGGTATCAGGAGGTGGGGCCTTAGGGGGGTGATTAGGTCATGAGGGTGGAGCCTCATGAATGGGATTAGCGCCCTTATAAATGAGGCCCCAGAGAGCTCCCTTGCACCATGCACCGTGTGAGGACACAGTGAGAAGGTACCGTCTATGAACCAGGAAGAAGGCCTTCCCTGGCACCTCAGCCCTGGACTCTGCAGACTCCCGACCTGAGTGAAATACATTTTGGGTGTTTATAAGCCATCGAATCTATGGTATTTTGTTAGAGCAGCCTTTGCCCTAGATAATTTATTCCTCTAACCCTCTACTTTTTCCCTGGCAATTCCATCCATCCTTTTGATTTCCCTCTCTTTACAGATGACTCCTGGGTTTATAGCCTACCTCAGACCTTAGCCCTGAGCCCCAGATCTACATAGCCACCTTATGACCGGACACCTCCACTTGGATATTTATCCCGGCGTGGACTCAAGCCTTCTCCCCTACTAACTGCATCCTCCTCCTTGGTGTCCTCTCTCCAGGAATGACACCACCATTCATCCTCCATGCAAGCCACATGTGGATGGCATTCTTGACACTGCTTCCTCTCTCTCCACTCCATACCCATCCGTCACCATGGCTTGTCCATTTAACTCAAAAATACCTTGTTAACCTCCCTTACTGGTCTTCATCTCAACTGGAACCTCCCTAAGCCCAGCTGCTATCATTTCCTTACTGGAATGCTGCAACAGTCTCCTCCTTGGTCTCCCACATCTGCCCCGAGTTACCCACCCTCCAAACCACATTTCACAAGATGCAAGGCTTATCACTCTATCCATCCCTTTTGAGACCCCTCAGTGGTTTTATATGACTTTGAAGATAAAATCTAAAATTCCTAGCATGGCCTTTCTGATCTTCTCTCCTGCCTGACTCTCCTACTGGTTCCTCTTGCTACGTGTGGTCCAGAGAAACCAGTCTTTTAGTTGAAGGAAAGACCCTTTTCTTCCCTCTTGCAACATACTCTAGAATGTTCTTCTCTCCGCCTCTCATAAGCAATATTGATCAGTAGATTTCTTGTAATGGTTGGTATGGTTTTGGTATTAGATTAATACCTACGTGGGGAAGTGTCCTGTCTTTTATTTTTTAGAAGAGTTTGAGAAGAATTGGTATTAATTCTTCTTTAAATGTTCTGTAGCATTCACCAGTGAAGCCATCCGGGCTTAGGGCTCTTCTTTGTGTGAAGTTTAAAATGACTAATTCAACCTCTTTTGTAAATATCTAGTTAGATTTTCTATTTCTTCTTAAGTCAGTTTTTGTAGTTTGTGTCTTTCTAAGAATTTGTCCATTTCATCTAAGTTATTTAACTTGTTGGCATACAGTTATTCATAGTATTCCCTTATAACACTTTTTATTTATGTAAAGTTGGTAGCAATGTCCCCTCATTCATCCCTGATTGTAGTATGTAAACATTGTTGTTTTTTTCCCTTGGTCAGTTTAGCTAAAAGTTTGCCAAATTTGTTAATTTTTTGAAAGAACTACCTTTTAGTTTCATTGATTTTCCCTATTATATTTCTATTCTTAATTTTATTAATTTCCACTCTAACCATTCTTGTTGTCTTCCTTCTACTTGCTTTGTGTTTGGTATGTTCTTTTTTCCAGTGTCTTAAGGTAGAAGGTTAGGTTATTGATATGAGATCTTTCTTCATTTTTAATATAGGTACTTACAGCTATAAATGTCTCTCTAAGCATTGCTTTAGCTACATTGCATACGTTTTTATATGTTGTAAATTCATGGTTTTTTTCAATCTAATATGATGGGAAGAGATGTGACCTTGTTTTCATTCATCTCAAAGTATTCCTTATTTCTTTCTGATTTCTTCTTTGATCCATTGGTTATTTATGAGTATGTTGCATAATTTCTAGATATTTGTGAGTTTATAAAAATTCTTTCTAATTTTATTCTTTGTGACCAAGAAACATATCATGTATAATTTTAATTGTTTTAAATTATTAATGCTTGTGTTATTATCTACACTGCAGGATATTTAATGTGCACTTGAGAAGAATGTGTATGCTTCTCTTGTTGGGCAAATTATTCTCTAGGTGTCTGTTAGTTCTGGCTGGTTTATAGTGTTGTTAAAATATCCTATTTTCTTGTTGATCTTATATCTAATTGTTTTATATATTATTGAAAGTAAAGTATTAAAATTTCTAAATATTGCTGAACTGTCTGTCCTTTCAATTTTGTCAATTTTTGTTTTATGTATTTTGAAGCTCTATTGTTAGGAGCATATATGTGTATAATTTTCACATCTTCCTGATATTTTGACACTTTTATTATTATAAAATGTCTCTTTTTATCCATAGTAACATTTTTGTTTTAAAGTTTATTTTGTCTGATATTAGTGTGGTAACTCTAAATTTTTTTTTAAAGAATATTTTTTAAACCTACTGAAGTTTGATTAATAGAAACATCAAAGGAATACAGACTAGATAATCTATAAAAAATAGTTCTTTATATTTACATAGAAGCTTGTCCCATAGATTCCAGAACTGTATAGCTAAAAGAGTTCTAAATATATCAAAGCATTCCAAATTTTGAAACATTTCCAACTACCAACTCATTTTTCTTAGAAATCTACAGGCAAGGTTTCATAGTTTCACCAAGTAAAGTTTAGTATCTTTCCATGATAGTCATCAGGAATGTTTCCAAACTTCTAACTTAAATCCTTAATCCTTACTCTATGTAAGGCAGGGTTTGAAAAATAGTTCACCGGAGAATCAGGTATCTCCTGACTTAAATGTAAGGGCCTCCAATAGGATTCAAAACTTTTGGGTCAAAGCCACTTCTTGGAATTTGCTTTAGGTTTAGGTATAATCCTCTATTCTTTTGTTATACTTGACACCCATCTCCTTTTCTCAAATTACTCATTATAACTTGGAAGTAGCCCCTTGTATATGTATCAAAACTTAATTTGTTCCTTCCTCCCACTGTCTCTGACTTAATTATACTCTATTCCTTGGGCCAACCATGAAAACAAATGCTCTTCTACCAGAACTTTAAAGAAATTTGAGTGTGGTGAGAAAGAAATAACCTTCTAAAACTGTAGAATGTTTTTCTCTTTTCACAAAGTGTGAATTATTCTTGTAGGAATAAAAATTGCTTTCCTGTCAGTGGAGTGAATTCTGGAGTCAGCCGACCTTCCTGGGCAGCTGTTTTAGTTTTCTAAGCTGTGGAACAGGTAATATTTCCTTATGATGTCACAGTTTCTGTGGGTCAAAATAAGGGCACAGTTTAGCTGCATCCTATATTCCCCAGGTCTCTTAAGACTACAACCAAGGTGTTGGCTGGTTTGCACGTTACTTGGCTCAACCTGGGGAGAATCTGGTTCCAAGCTTACTCAGGATGGGGCTGGAATTAATTTCCCGTGGATGCAGAACGGAGGACTTCTGTATTTTTGCTGGCTGTTGGTTGGGCGCTACCCTCATACCTAAAGGCTGCCCACAGCGCCCTGCCATGTGGAACTCTTCATCCTGGTTGCATACTTTAGCAGTCAGAAAAGAGAATCTCTGGCCTGAATATTTGAGCATAATGGAGTCATATAATGTAAATAATCATCAGAGTGATGTCCCATCATCACCTTTGCCATAGTCTGTTGGTTATAAGTAAGTCATAGGTCTCGTCTAGCCCCAAGTGGAGGATATTATACAAAGGCATAAACACTAGATCGCAGGGGTCGTTGGCAGCTGATTTAAGATCTGTCCAGTACTTCTACTCGAGTGTTTTCCAAAAGATATGCCACCAAATTACTTTTAGATCACTTAAAAAGCAAACT